ACCTTCAGAACTCTCTGATAACCTGTTTTAGGGTGACCAGTGATGTTAACATACAACACTGCTTGGGAACAGGAAAACTGCCATTAAAAACAAGGGGTTGGGGTGGAGGGATTTTTTTTTTTAAGACTTTATGCCTTTGTTTATGTGTTAACTATTCAAAGCAATTCAACATTAATGTAGCTGTTTATACACAGGAATTTTTTTCCTGGTGTTTGTAGCAGTAGTTGTAGAGACAACCAGAAGAACAGCAGAGACTGTTGAGTTTATCTTTTGAGGAAATGAATGTGAAATTTATGGTCCAGAGAATAAGATAATTCAGCTTCAGTTCTTTAAAATGAAAACTTTTATTAGAAAAAAGGAAGAAAGATACAAATCAGGCTGCAAATGTTTCATTATTTTCATCAGAGAACATGGGATGAGAACAAATATAATGTGTATTTAAATCTTCTGAGGCTTCAGCTGACCAGGCAGATTTGGCACTTGTGTCATGCCTGATTCTACATTGAACACCTTTGTGGTTCTGTTTTTGTACAAGTTTATAAGACTTCTTGGTGCTGTTTTTGTTTTACCAAATTGCAGCACTTACTGTTGGTGGTAGAACAAGGAGAGTCCTGTGAACAGTCAAATTCATGTAGAAAAATTAATTTAAAGTCTGTCAAGAATATCTTGGCTCAGTGCTGTGGACTGGGAAGAACTTGAACCTAATTAGGTTTTCTTTTTACCTCCTTGAAACTGTTAAATTGAAGGGGATAGAGAAAAATGTTGCCTCCCTTAATTTTTCTGTTTAATGTCTCAGTTCTTTTTTTAATGGTGCCATAATTGAATTGTAGCACATCTCCATATTGACAAATAGATTGGATGTAGGAGTCTGTCTTGTAAGTGCTTGTAAAGGTAGCAAGATTAAATTGGATGAAAAATGCTTTAAGTTCATAACATAATCCAGTTTAATTTCTGGTTTTACATGTGTAAAAACTTTGCAGAATTTAACTGATCTTTATCCTTGTGGAGAGGAAATGGCAAGTGCTGTGCAGTGTGACATTGTCAGAATCTTCAGGGCTGTGATCTCCCAACTCACCAGAGAGCAGTGAAGGTCATAAAGAGGGGAACATCCAGGGAAGATTTTGGAGTAATGCCTTCAGTGAATGACCCCCTTGGGAGCACCCCCAGTTTTACCTGAGTTTGTGCTCGTAAAACCAACCATCCCAGCTGTGTTTGTTGAGGATTTCTGACTGTGTGGGTTGGCTGATCCAACTGAAGAAGTCATCCAGGAATGCATTCCCAAATACTGTTCCACATTCCCAAATAATGTTCCCTGTCCCCAGGTGTCCTCGCCGGTCACGATAACCGTGTCAGCTGCTTAGGTGTGACTGATGATGGCATGGCAGTGGCAACAGGATCATGGGACAGCTTCCTCAAGATCTGGAACTGAAGTAGGTGGGTATCCAATTCATTCCTGAGGGCTTGGCCTCCTTAGGGTCCAGAAAGCTTTGTGCCAGCCCCAGCCAGTGCTGTGTCACTGGGGCTGCAGCCTAGCATTCAGATTAGGAAAGGCACTGAGGAAAAAAAACCCCAACCAGTTGGGTGTTTTAGAAGACTATTGCTTTAATGTATGCAGTGACATTTCTCTGCTGGCCTGTTTTTGCCATCCTTTATTCTCCTGTGCTGTTTCTTGGGCCCGGGTTGGTAAATAAGTGGCGTTGTGGAATGGGCAGATAATGGCTGGGTGCATCAGTGGGAGCCAGAGCAGGGCTGGAAACTTGATTGCAGTTTATCCAAGAGCAGCTCCTAATAAATAAATGTTTGTGTGTGTGTGTGTGTGTGTGTGGCAGAACTCGAGGACTCCACGACTGGAAGAAGTTCCCAACAAAATTAAACACGATAGCATATCCAATCCAACCATACTAACTCGGACCCCCATCCTCCCCAACTCAAAGGGCAAGATCTTCTCCGTCTCCTGTTGCTGAAATGAAGAGCACAATTACCTTTCCAAGAAGAATTTCTGTGTTGTAAGCAAAATGAAATTGTGCATTCCTTTTGGGACCACTTTTTTTTTTTCTTTTTTTTTTTCTTTTTTTTTTTTTTTGTCTTGAGAATTTAAAAATGAAACACTATCATAAAAGCATGACCAGAAAATAAACTTGAGCATAATTGTGAAAACAGTTTAGCTTTCACTGTAGTTTCCAAGTTGAAGTTAAGGACTTTTATCTCACACACTTGCAAATTTTAAAAGTCATGTTTGTAGCAGGATTTTTTTCAAGTTTCCTTTTTAAATACATTTCTTTATGTATTTAATTGAGCAAAACAAGGGAGTCCTAGCCCAGAGCATCTGGGGGTTGTTAACGCTGTAAATTTAGTCCCTAATTTTTTTTTTATTTTATTTTCTAGTATCACAGATAATTGTTGCACAAAACTTGGCATATATAGGATAATGTTAAGCAGTAAGGTAACCAAGCACATGCTGTAAAAGGTAATGAATGCTTGTTTAAAGAATCCTTTCACCTTTTATGGATAACAAATGCAATCCTTGGTCCCTCCTGCCCCCCCCTTTTTTCACCACACTGATTTTTTTAATCTGTTTTGGTTTTGTCCACTTGAAAGGGCAGTTTATATATCCTAACACTATCCTATAAGTCTCAACAACCAGGAATCTCTGTTTTCAAAAGAGACCTATCCTACACTTGGGTATTGAGTCAATTCTTTGTGTATGAAATGATGTACAAATCAATGTTTTGAAAATAATGATCTTGAACTTTCTAAGTTAAACAGAAAAAAAAAAACCTTTTTTGATTGTTTGCCATATTGGGTGGGTTTACTCTTAGAATCGCATGCTGTAGAAATGCTAAAAAGTGCATATTGGACTAAAGTCCTTAGATGTTTTTTCTTTGAAGAAATAACCTGTTTAAAAACTGTAACCATTGTCGCTGTATTCATTTCTTGTTGCTACTCTGTGCATAAATCTCTGAAGAACTCCAGTACAAAGCTATGCACGTTTTGGAGTAGCGTGATAAAGTCACTTTTTTTTCTTTTTTTTTTTTTTT